GGGAACTGCTCACCTGTTCGTTGTGCGAAGCACTGGTGGCTAACATTGGCAACTAGGTTTCTGAGCGATTTTCATCGTAGTTGGCTCAAAAATAAATAAAGGAATGCTCCGACAAGACTTGTTGGTAAGAGCATAATACTGAAATTCCATCCATCTTTGTTCCTTTTCTCTTTGTAGCGCCATTCTGTCATGGCATCTAGAGGCATCTGAAGGGGTATATAGCTCTGTGTTCCAAAAACTTACCCCAATCGAATTTGGTATTTGTTCTTGGCAGTGAATATGAATGAACTAGTGCATGTTTGTGATCAGGATGTCAAATAACCCCTGTATACAGGTTTTCATCAATTTTGGTGAGAAAGTTAGAGACGGCAAGTTGGTGTCTATTGGGGCCAAAAGGCACCGAAGTCAAAAATGAATATATTGCACATGATCAGGGTGCCGAATAACCTCTGTGGGCGCAGTTTCAGCATAATTTTTTTCAAGGTTTTGGAGTCGAAATAGTGGGATAGATCCGGAAAATGGTGTAAACTTGCAGACTAAGGTTGTTAGGCATCCTGGTTATGAACATTACAATTACTCTCAGCGCCAGCGCTAGTGCAGGGCACGCTGCGCTCTGCAAAGGCTCAGCCTAACGAGGAAGGGGTCACTCCTTCCTTCAGGTCCAACCTAAGCGGAGCTCCAATTGGCGCCATAGGACACCAGCGGCAAAAATGAATATCGTATCCGTGACAGGGACATGGAACAACCATAGTATGCCAGGTTTTGTCAATTTTAGAGAACCTTGGTGATGCCAAGTTGGTGTCTATTGGCATCACATAGCGCCATCGACAAAAACGAATGTCATATCAATGATCAACCGCATTACATCTACATTCGTATTTCCGGCGACCATTTATGAACTAGGGTTGCTCTCCCTCTTCATGGAGAGACTGAGTTAGTTGCTTCGTCCATAACTTAACACCTCAAAAAATTTTCGCGAAGCGAACAGCTGTAAATAACAGCATCTAATCAAACAAGGTTATTTCTTTGAATGGATAGGATAAACTTTCTACGCATAGGTACAAAACTTGTTTTTGTGATAAAGAGAAAAAGCACCTTGCGTTGATCAGACTATAGGCCAAAAATCAAGCAGACTGTGTCGAACTTCCCCAAATAATGAAGGAATGTATTGGTGTGCTGTCCGATGCCAACGCATTACTGTAACTTAGCGCGAGGGTGCAGTCCTAAAAGGGCGCGTTGGGGTCCTAAATGTATTAATTTTTGTGTTTTTTGTAAGCATGTGTTGTGTGCTCATAGAACTATTTTGCTGCTCACTCTAGCTTCTGTACTCTTCAATAGCTGATGATTACTGAAATTGCCTTCCAACAAAGAGGGTCACCCTGGTTCCTACACAAGACATACGGAGAAGGATGTCACGTTAATTCTGCACGAAACTTAAAACTAAGGTTTTATTCCGTTATTAAATTTCTGGGTAAGAGCCATAGCGAATTATACAACAGACCACGCCATGCTTGCAAAAAAAGATTTTCAGTTTTCCATGAAATTTTGAGTGGTCATCTTCGAGCATTGCAAAGGTTGTGACGCACAAGAGCTTGACGCTTACGATAAAATGCGCATAGAACAGGCTTCCAAAGTGTTTTTCAACTTTGACTACTTATAACTGGTTGTGTGAACCAGGTGCGAACCTTAGCTTTCGAGTTTGTGAACATCACTTTGAATTCTCTTGATCGAGATTCCATTTAAATTTCCATAGGAGTGAGGAGTCCACTCTTTGTTGGAGTACTTCTAGACTGCTCTTTTAGTGGTATCGTGGAAAACCAGAGGTGGAGGTGGTGTAGCGGCAAGTGACAAGCTCATCACGCTCACGGTCCAGGTGCCTAATCCCCGATCAGCTTCCGCCCAGGCCAACGAAGAGCATGGTAACAATTCACCGTCTTCTAAACTATGTTCCTGTGTAATGGTAAGAGCACTGACCTGTACAGTGGCTCACGCAAGTCATTGTGTAGACCACGTCCAATTTAAGAAGGCACCACGACTCTGAATGGAGTTAGAATGCGTGCTGCATAACCCAAAAGGAACTGTAGATGTCACCCATTCTGAGACCATAAAAAAGTCAATACTTTAGCAAGTTTTTGTAGTCCATTTTGGGCTCCACATGTTGCTTGGCTTTTTTAAAGACTGATTTTATTTTTACATTTACTGTTCCGATATTCAATCCAAATCACACTTCGAAGTAGCGTACAACTTCGCATGACTCACTATATGAACTCAAATTCGACCTGAAGGTTACGTGTAGCAAAATAGGATTTTACCTCGGCAAAGTACCCTCCAAAATGATGGCTGTGAAGCTATTCCAAGAAAGCAGTGGGGCCTCGAGTGTGCCTTTAGGGACGCTATGAACAGCGAGATGAAGGAAAATACCAACCGAACTAGTTGGAATGAACCGTAACAGAAGTGTGCTTAGATGGCATAGTGCTTCAACCGCGATAGACTTATGACAGTGACACTTTTTCACTTTTTCACTCTCACTCTTCGGGATCTTCAGCAGGTCGCTGCAACTATACGCTACCCACGAAAGTTGTCAATCTCCCCCTTTGCTGCAGTAGAATAAAGATATGCATTTTCAATACTCGTGACGAAAAGTACTGAGTATATCTTCAGCACTAAAAAAAGTATTCTGTTTTGTAATACTACCGTAGTGACATAATGAGCGCCACACACAAGATTAATACACTCTTTGTTACATGTACGCCGGCCTTGAGCGGAAACCATGCTGTACACAATTAGCTACCCTGGACGCCTGAACTGTACGTTGAAGTAAATAGCCGTGATTTTTCGCTCCCGCGACCATAAGAAGTGAGTTCTACTATACCGCTTCATTGGCAAAACTGAAAATGTTGGTGAGAGTGAACGAATGTTTACGAAGTATAATGAATGATAGTCCATACTTGTGCCACAACCACTGAAGCCAGGGGTAGTTTACAGCATCATGATGTGTGAAAGATGTCAGTGCGACCTGCCCGGCTCCCAACGAAGAAGGGTATCGGTACGAAACCCACCTCCTTCGGGCTCTAGTTGTTGGCTCTGAGGAAATGATTAGATACGTAACGATCTGGAGAGCTGACGAACTGCGGAAAAATTGAATTGGAATCGATAGCTATCTAAAGCTTTTCGTGATTCTGCACTTCTTCGATTGGTCAGCAAAATAACTGAATTACTGAAGAAAAACAGATACCAAGAAGAAAGAACGAAAGACCCCTGTAAAAAAACCCCGAACAAGGCCGAATCCAGCGCAGAAAGTGCCTCAGTAACAAGTGGGGCTAGATGTGCAGACCACCCGTATATAGCCCAACTGCGGCGGCTCAAACCAGATATGAATTGCTGCTTGTGCGTGCGAGAGGCCGGGCTGTGTTTTTGGGTTAGATACTCTAAGCCTGTCCACGTTGGACTCGAATGAGCATCAGGACCGTCATACCACAACTTTGTGAGATATTAATCACTCAAAGATCGCAGCGTGCGACCATGTCTGCAAAATACAAGTTGTTGAGGTGTTGTGTATGTTTCAAACACGTTATATATAAAAGGACGTCCACAACACATACACGACACTCGTCAGTGATCCCCGATTTGTGAGTCGCCAGGATTCCCAAAAAAATATTAGGTTGTCCGGGAAATTCCAATGAATTCCGCTTTTCCAGTTTGAAGAAGTGTTGCTAGCGAATGCGACAACAGAAAATCACATAGCAAATGCTGAGAGAAAGAGAAATGTTTGTAGATTAATGAACGTGCTAGTTGGTGTTACTCTCTATTGCTGGTATGAGCTAGCATTGACCGAAAAGTGTACAAGAGCCACGAGTCTTTTACTTCACCTTCATCTTTCCGGTTGCTCAATCTTTCAAATGAAAACGAGTCGCTGTCCCTGATGCCGGATACACCCTCCAAAATTACCTGTTTCTGAAGTTCGATGACCTTCTTATGTGAAAATTCAGCTCGGTGTTGCATAGTCCCGCGCTTTTTCGGTACCAACGCACTCTAGCCGCCCACACTAAGTAAGTATGATAACTTTAGGTTCCTATCCCTTTAAACATTAATGGGCCTATTGGAAGTTTTGAAAACTTTATGGACACCCTAACAGAATTTCCTACAACGCATTTGAGTGGAAAAAGCACTTGTGGTAACCGTCATTGTCTACGTTTCAATCGAATATAAGATCACTCCTTTTCACCCTACAAACCTTATCAAAAATTTTATTTCCGCATGAACTCTTTACCAAATATTGAATACACGCAATAGGGGATACTACTTCGACTTACGTCCAACACTTTGTACATACATCTGACTAGAAACCGCGGATTTTCTCTGTAGGGCGAGTTCTGCTCAGAATACATCCCATATCTACTTACGAGTGACTTCAGACTATTGTGGCACAGGAACAATGCCGACATATCGAATCAAATACAGCGATGGTAAATTGCAAAGATAAGGAAACATTGTGCAAGTGTAGGTGTGTAGCAGTGAGGAAGAAAATCAAAGAAACTGCCGAAAACCGAGCCTTCCAACGAATGACGCTCCTTTTGACTCCCGAGCAAAAATACAAACACGAAGAGAACAAAGGCACCAAAAATTGCGCCCACTTCTGCATATGAAATGTGCGGAAAGAGGGCTCACAGTATGAAGTCGTAGGCAAGTTGACAAGATGGCATTGGTTTATGAGTCCAAAAGATGATTGTCAATGCACTTTCTTTCTGGCCGCGAAAGGGGAAATGGAGGGACGCTTTTAAGAGACTTTACGGCGTTTACCGCCTTATCGACCTAAACTGGGGACTTTCAAGGAGTGAGCTGCATCACTCAATTTGTCATCGTAGACTGTGCCTCCGAAACCGTCTCGCTTTGGGCAGGAGCAAAGTCATATCAGTTGAGACGAATGAGCGTTTCAAATTTACCGGTTTTTCCATTCTCAAAGACCCGTACGGAACTGCTGTGGGCTTTCTCTTTGGAGTTCATGGTTGCCTTTGAATCGAAAAGGGTCTGCTTCCGAGCGGAGGACAACTGGCACTCCTCCCGCTACTTCTAGGAGGCACTTGCAATGACATGGGTGTGTTCACGACAGCCATATGGAAATGATGGGATGTTGCGTTGCTGGCACGTTCGACACGCTTCACAGAATGTCGCCTAAAAATCTTCATCAGAATGCATTCCTTGATGTCTCGATGAGCCATAGCAAATATGAAAGCATGTGACAGGCCGGAGAGCGTGGCGCACGTTCCGACGAAGAAAGCAACCTCTTCCAGCAGCTGGAATTGAACATTAATTCTTGCGCTGCGAAGAATAACTCACGTATTCATAGTTTCTTGAGGGCGTTCAGAATTCGTGACAGCAGCGCTTCGGTCGCGCGTTTGACGCGATTGATCGTACATGCTTTCGACTGCGTTGATTGACGAAAGCGTGCTCAACCGATTGCGTCAAACGTGCGACCAAACGTTGCCGTCGCAAAGCCTCAACGCTGCCTTCAAGGAGAATGGCTTCAACTTCCCATGGAACTTTGAATGGAGACCTAGGTACATCGATAGAGTCTCGAATGCTGATTACGAATATGCAGATTAAAAGTGCTATGGACCTCCCAGACGAGTTCTGGGCGGTCAAAGTTTGCGAAAACTCAGTTTTGGCTCGTAAGCGCTGCTGATCGATTGCTAGGCAGTGCCACCGTGGCCTAGTGGTAACGGTCTCGCTTCAAAGGCAAATGCTTGTGGGTTTGCATCCCGTTGGCGCGAAAGTTTTTGCTTCGTCTCCTATAAGAGCTTTACTCTAATTTTCGAAATTCTTCCGAGTTTACGACCCAGCAGAGCAAGTAGATCAAGTATATGACGTACTCGATCGAGTATGGATTTGGTCACTATCTGCCCTCTCTGAACTCATTACCCATCCGACAATTCAAAGTTTTGGCCAGAATCACAATTTGGCCAGAAACTCGTTTCTGGGGGTATTTTGACCCCTGAGCACGAATATCACATCCGTTTGACGCGAAAACGATCGGTTCCCTCGTTCAGTTGATAACCACAACAGCGTTTTCTTGTACACTCTAGTTCTCTGCGGACGGTTGGGCGTGTCAGCCAGTATGAGTGTGTCACCCTATCAAAGCCGTTCTCTGCCTTCTTGTTGAAAGCGCATGCGACAAAAAGTGGTAGAAAACGAGTAATACGAAGGATATGATACAGTATTGTCACTTGCCCGCTTCAACAACTGGTGGAGAACGAGTTTGGCACCGCGCCAAACGCAGCCGCACTGACACGCCCAACCGTCCGCAGCAAACTACACTATAATATTCGTGTGCAGGGGTCAAAATGTCGCCAGGAACGAGTTTCTGGCCGAAACTTTGAATTGTCGGATGGGTAATGAGTTCAGAGAGGGCAGATAGTGACCAAATCCATACTCGATCGAGTACATATACCATATACTTGATCTACTTGATCTACTTGCTCTGCTGGGTCGTAAACTCGGAAGAATTTCGAAAATTAGAGTAAAAGCTCTTAGGAGACGAAGCAAAAACTTTCGCGCCAACGGGATGCAAACCCACAAGCATTTGCATTTGAGACCATTACCACTAGGCCACGGTGGCACTGCCCAGCAATCGATCAGCAGCGCTTACGAGCCAAAACTGAGTTTTCGCAAACTTTGACCGCCCAGAACTCGTCTGGGAGGTCCCCGTAGCACTTTTAATCTGCATATTCGTAATCAGCATTCGAGCTCTATCGATGTACCTAGGTCTCCATTCAAAGTTCCATGGGAAGTTGAAACCATTTCCTTGTTAGTCATCATGTTTCATCGCGGCCGAGTTCTTCGGCGCAACCGCTTTATGAGTCTACAACACTGCGTCTATGCAAGGCTGAATACGCATCAACCACTGAAATCATTAGCTTGCATAACGTCACAAAGAACTCACTGGAAATTTGATAATCGTCCCTACTCCATTCAAGCATCCTGGCACAACACCCATTAAGGCTGACACGAGCAAAATGTACAGTGATACGCGGTTCGCCTGAAAAATAAGGGTAACTCGCTAAGTATACTTTATGCTATTGCTCTGAACCCCGAAGAGGAATGAAGTGGTAGTTTATAATATGAGTGCAAATCTGGAAAAACTTTGGACTGTCACTATTCTGTTAATGCTGCATGATGGCAGCACGCAGCTCTCATACTAACAACCATTAGAGCCGCGAGGTCTCCCCTATGCGGTCATGGGAACAGTCAGTCCATTTTCCTCTGAATTTCCAGCTTCTCTTTCCCACCCTAGCCAGTTATTTTTACAGGACAGTGTCTGAAGAATACATTTCTCAGATTACGAGGTGATCAGAGCTTAGGTCTCGTAGTGGAGGAAGTACCGATCTGGACGTTGGGACAACAACCGTCGCTGGCACCAAAAACCAATACCAAAAAGTGGTTCGCGTCGCAAACACCCTTCTTCACCCTTCTCTTGGCCTGCCAAACGCAATACTTCGAAGTATAGTGGTAAGGAAGGAAGTGAAGCTAACCCCTATCTGTTCTTATCGAATGTTGTAATCGCCTGTCACCTGTCTCCAATGTCCCAATGTCCATATCACTTACCCTTTCGTAGTGAACAACGTACAACCTTGAAGGAGAATGGCGGCGGCAACGCTTTTTATCAGCTCCTATCAGTTGCTGTCCCTCTCTAACACCCGTCAGTGATTTCCCCGCCACATTCCTTTTATCACCTGTTGGAACCAATTTCCCACTGTTACTGTGACGGAATCAGGCGACGGCTGAGTCCCTCTTATTGGATCTTATCAGTACCTGTCACTTTCTGACACCCACCAATAGTGTTCCTGCATCATCCTGCAACCAACGTCGCACCGTTGCTGAGACCGACGCTATAAAGCTCGCGACCCTCCCTTTCTAGCGGTCCTTATCAGCTCATATCAGTTGTTATCACTTCCTGTCACTCACCAAAAGTGTTTCAGTCGCACCCACTATATCACTTAGCAATTCGAGTTTCTTATGTCTAAATCCAAGAAAGTTATGGAATTTCCAGTCAAACCACCACACATACACATACACCACACAGACAAACTTAGCTGGATAGTTGTTTTCAGCATATGAAACTTTATTTCTGTGAAGTAAGAGAACTGGATCAGAGATTGATGAGACTGATCAGAATTTTGAGGTTGATGAGAACAAAACACAATTGCCATATTTGCCTCCCTTGATGAGATCATAAATGAAAGCACACGCGCTCAAAATGCATGCAGCAGCCCTGGATTTTTTTTCTAAAACCAGGTCTTCTTATGAAAAGAGCAATCGGTGACCTGCTTCAATGCAAGAAAATCACTCACTTGTCTATCAATCTTGTGTTTGTTCTGTCTTTCAATTTCGTCAACTAATAAGGTGGATTTCGAGCTTCTGCAGAGTTTATACATGACTGCCACTGTGAAGAGACACGATAACAGGTTCATCACCATGTTTGAGAGGCCCCAGTAAGCGCGAAAAAACTGAAAAAGAGATTTGAATAATTTACCAACCATATCATCCTAGGGTTTACCATACATCATTTGTCAGGCAGCCAAATGAGCTGCAAAAAGGTAGCCTGTGAATTGTTACTGTGGTATGGAGGACCAACCAATCGACAATCGCGAGAAGTATCGCGACAATAAACGCTCCAATCGACCAACTGTAAACAAAATATAACAGATTTATTTCCCGAAAAATGGCTGGTCTGTCTCCAGCCTCAACCACTTCACTGTTCCTCATTCCTGTAGTGTAATACTTTGGGGCGCACGAACTCAGTCATTCTGATATAACAACAATGAGCTTTGAAATACAGCTTGCACCTCATTTGCGCTTTTACCCAGGTTTCTGGAGAGAACGTTTGCACTTGCTGTTACCTCAATACTACAGTAGGTAACTGTTGATGAACAACTGGGTTGGTCCATAAGTAACTGCGTTTTTTTATACAAATGTTTACGTGAAAAGTGAGAATTGTTACCAACGTGTTTCATAGCTATCGATAAATAATTTCCTGTCCTGTATGCCTTCCTACGTTTCCTGATTTTCATAGATATTTATTCCATTGAAATGCGGTGTCGGGTTGGCGCAAATTTGAGTTTTTGACAGCAACGTTTTGCTCTTAATCTAGGCTCTCAAATAGCAGAAGCAGCTCAAAACTTGTGCTGTGTACCACCAAGGAATTGCGCTTCTTAATTCGGGTTGAATTAGGTCCAAGCGCTTGAGATAGGAGGATGGGGTTCGGACCTCGTGGATCGCATTCGCATGGGACGTCCTTTTACGAGCAGCTGCTTGCAAAAATCATACACCAACTTTCGAACCTTCCCATCAGCTGCGGGAAATGCTCAGTGATGCTGTGGAAGCATTCCATGATCTATAATAAATCCTCATTCTTTGGCATGGATCTCTATGAATTCCTCCAGTTCTCAGCTGGTCTCAACTGGGCATTAGGTGCGACGCTCGTCTGTGAGGTCGAAACTGAAATCTTTGAATCGCTTAAAAAATTGCACGCATTCTTGAAAAGCATAGCTTCTCGGCAAAGTACTTAACAAATAGGCTTGTCGGGTTTTGTATACTCGATTTCGTCTCCCTCACACACCATTTCCAACCGTGAGGATCAGTGGGAAAAAGACCTTCAAGAAGCCTCCAAGAAGCGTGAGAGGCCTGTCCTGTATGTCAAAGAATTACCTATAGAATTTAGTGGCAGAGATTCCCATCTTCAGCGCGAAACTTTGATTGAGGAAAAAAAACGCGTTACTTATAGGCCAATCCAATATAACTAGCTGTAGCTCTGCAGCTGCAATTGTTTTATAGACTGTAGTTTCTACATGTCATTTTCTTAGAAGGGAAGTCGTAAATTGCAATTTCATGCCAGCACTCAGAGAGAATACTTGCCTATTTGAGTAGTTTCTATTTGAGGTATCGCCTGATAATAAAGGGTTGGTTAAGCTGGCAACTTCTGTTTCAATCCAAGTTTTCCGGGAAGCATTTGTGGATAGGGCAAGTTGAATATACTCACGCAATGGCCGTGATTTATTGTTTCTAATAACGATAACGATATTGAACGGTGTTACTGGATGGCAAGTTTGAGGTGCACTAGGAACTACATGAAGGACCCACTTTACCTAAAATCCCTCATCTCCCACCATTGGATAGCATAGTTGGACCCTAATCTATTGACTGCTACACTCTGTGGAATGCCAATTGGGTTTTACTAGCGATTCCCTTATACGCTTACGACAATTTAGCGGTGGCGACTTTCGCGCGGTCTTGTGTAAGCAACAGTCTTCTCCGAGAGACACTCCTCGTATGAGCTTTCTTTTCACAATAAACAGGATAGGATGCATCGATAAGCGTGATTCGAATAGAACAACACAGTTGTCACAGTTGAATCTGAATCTTAAAAGAAGTTGTCCAGGCACCATGTTCCCTTCTACCTTACCTTGAAAGTCAACCTTGATAATGGATGCCCTGTTTGCGGACAATCTTTGGGGTAGTGAAACACGCACGGTGCCTGCAGCTTGCCACTTCTACTCAGATATATATATATCCTTCCTTAACGGAGATTGGATTGCATTATTATGCCAAGTTCGTATTTAAAACTGGTTTTTTTTGTCTCAGATTTCATGACAATCGCGTATTTGTGAAGTGGTGCCGCAATGTGCCAC